CGGGTCTCTTTTCCGCCGGCCATAGAGGAGCTAAGGTTAGGGTAAGGATTCTTATCAGACCACTTCACTAAAGTTATCACAATCCATCCTCCTTTTAATGTCACTGTGCACTCATGTGCAACCCTAAACACTATGTGAACATTGTCACTATCAAAGTACGACCAGTATTGACGCCATGTTGACGATAGATGACTAAATATAAAGCCCTTAACGTCTCGGTGCTCCTGTCCGCTCCGGCTCTATCCGCATGTCGGCTACGGGTTGTGAAGCTGCTCGGCCCCCGGTGTTAGGGCTTAATACTCGGCTTCCTTCTCTCGCCGAAGGGTCGCTGTGTAGTTTCTGAGGTTCTTGATAATATTACTTTGCTAATGTTCACACAGGAAAACCCGCTTCAGTCCGTTTACTGTATTATGCTAACACGCTAGCAACACTGCTAGCGTAGCATCCAGCTAGGAAGTTAGCTTAACTTCCAAACGCCAGAGAATCTGACATGTTTAATGAAAAGGCTAGAATAGAAACAACTGATCTCAGTGTTGACGTTTTGCTCGTAGCATTCACGTTTCAAACCACTTTTCTTTCGAGTTCTCTTAACACGTTTTCAGCTGCTCGGTGAGAGGTGATGTGTCAAACATGCAGCTTTCCCGACCTCCTCATGTCACCGGGTTAATAACTTGTGTTTCTTTTCATCGCAGCATCATGAAGCTGAATCCGTTTGTAACCTCCTCCCGCCGCAAGAACCGCAAAAGGCACTTCAATGCCCCCTCACACATCAGGAGGAAGATCATGTCTTCTCCTCTCTCCAAGGAGCTCCGCCAGAAGTACAACGTGAGGTCCATGCCCATCCGCAAAGACGACGAGGTCCAGGTACTGCGCTCAGGACGGCTGTACGGTGTGATATGTTTTGTCAGTGTAAGATGTACCTGGTCCAATTGTTCTGTGGTGTTTACAAACAGGTGGTCCGCGGACACTACAAAGGCCAGCAGATTGGCAAAGTGGTGCAGGTCTACAGGAAGAAGTACGTCATCTACATCGAGCGTGTGCAGAGAGAAAAGGCCAACGGAACCACAGTCCATGTCGGCATCCACCCCAGCAAGGTGAGACAGTTGTGTCTGCTTCAGTGGATGAAGCTGAATGTTTAGAGAGATGTTCTTGGCGTGTTACTGAGATCATGTGACGATGCTGTTGGGTGTGCTTGAAAATGTAGAACAACTACCCAGTGAGATTTTGCATGTGTTGTCTTTTCTCTGCCCCTGAGAAACTGACAATTATTCTTTATGGCTGACATCACAAGCACTTAGTGATGAAGGTGTAAGCAAGAGAGCTGCATTTAAATTGGTGTGTTCAGCATTATAATGAAAATGTTGTGCCTCTCTTGATTTCATTGTTATAACTGAGTGAATGAATCCAGATTTAAGACCATGAATATAGTGTGTACAACATTGTTGAGTTTTATCTACAGTCAGTGGTGCTGCTTCAACTGTGGTGATCCTGGGCTGTAGTTAGTGGTGCAGGTATATCTAACTGCATTGTATTGAAATGGTTTTAATATTTTGTCCACATCACTTAGGTAGAGTAGTGAAGGCTCTTTCCCTAGGGTTTCAGATTCTGAAACCATGATGGTGCATCTCTGACCCTCAGATATAACTGTTTTTCTACACATCATCAGGTCCCTCAAATTATCGAGACTTGAACCCTCTTGTTCATTTCTTGTCAGTGTGCTTTAGTGGATTCTTTCTTTACAGTGAATATGAATTTAATCTTTTGACATGGATGCTACATTGAACTAGTTGGCACTGATAGTGATGCAACAAATAATGGACATGTTTAACTTCCACATTAAATGATCCATTAACAATTAAAGCTGTTTTCCATGAGATAGAGTTCATGACAAATTATTCACAGAACCAAGCACAGACTTTAAAATAAGTAACATTTGCGATGGCTGGATTCCATGTAGCTGCTTCTTTTCTGAGTCTGGCACACAGACCTCACTGTCACACTGCCACTGCTTAGTGGGACACCTGAATAAAGCAGGGCCGTTGTTAAAGTTGCTTGTAACACCGGTGCATTTTCTTACTGTAGTAATTCTCCTGTGAAAGGTTCTGTTGAATGAAATATTCCCCTGTGACATCCTTATTGTTCAACTTACTGCTGCAAACCTGCCAGTCCTAAAAGTGTCATGGCTTTCCTCCAAGTCCAGCTGTGTAAAATGTTCTTGTATTGAATATTGGACTTTTAGTAATCCTACACAGCCAGATTTTTCTCCCCAGTGCTATGGAATGGTATTTCTGCTTCCATTGTCCTTCTGCTAGAGAGTTTGCTTGTTAGAATATCTTTAAACCAATCCACATTGTCTTTGGTGGCCAGCTAATAAAGCCCAGCATACAGAGACAGTGCCACTGCAAGATGGTGTCTGCAGGGATTTATTTTTCTCCATGTGGCCATTGGATAACTGTGATTAAAATGGATTAAAATTGATTGCATGATTCAAGTCTTAGTCAAAAGTTGGTGTTTCAGTTTTGTTACTATCACAGGGGTGGTTGTTTGCTATAGTGAAGGAAAAGAGGCAATGACTGTCAACCAGATATGATAGAAAACTACAGGCAGCACCATGTTACGAACACTTGCTTTCCATATTTTATTAATGCTCCAGTAAAAGCATCACTGTTCAATTCAATTTTATTTGTATAGCGCCAAATTACAACATGCATTTCTTTAAGACACTTTCCGTAGTAAGGTGGTCAAACATACAATATTACAATACATTTCAAACAGCAAACACAACACCTGGGGCCCTGGCATTATCATACTCAATGGTTTTAAATATTGATACGTGTATGTTGATATTTATATTATTAGAGTTTAGTTTTCCATGGATGGCATAAACTGTCATGCTGTGTTGTAATATTTAATGAATAACTGTGTTACTGTTCATACTCTTAACAAAGAAGACTGTTGACACATAACTAGAATATCAAGGGATCACTTCATTATGTTCAGTCTGAAGTCACTAAATGTCCCCTTGTTCATTAGAAATGTATTGGACTGAAATGTTTTTTTAAGTTGTAACTAATGCAGAGTAGATTGATCATTTCCATATGATCTGTCTCAATGTGATTGGTCCCCCTGCCAGAAGGTTATGTTGTGACCTGTTAATGAATCCATTGTTCCGTTTGCAGGTGGTCATCACCAGGTTAAAGCTGGACAAGGACCGCAAGAAGATCCTGGAGCGCAAGGCCAAGTCTCGCGCCGATGGAAAGGAGAAGGGCAAATACAAGGAGGAGACCATTGAGAAAATGCAGGAGTAAAAATGATCTTTTGCTATCAATAAACTGTAAAAAATGGACCCCACTTTGTCTCGTGTTTTTCTTGAGGAGTTTTTTATTGTATCATGTAGTTAAAGGAATTTGTATTTTATACATTTGTAATTAATTTGACATGGTCTCCTGTCATGATTGTCACGTGAAAGATCTGTGAAGAGCCCACAAGCATCCACAGTGCTAGATTAGAGAAATGTGTTTTGGATCCTGATTACCTTGTGCTACCTCCTCCTCAATATTGGATGTGATTGCCTCCAGACCCTCTGCTACTCTCAAATGATCAACTGTACAGTTAATGAATGGCAAGATAACTTTAGCTCTAATTTATGACAGTATTGATTATTCTTGTTTTACTTTGGCCAAGGAGGTTAGGTTTTCATCTGATTGATAGCATAATTATGTAAAAGCTACTCAACCAATTTCCAATAATTTTATGGAACCATGTGGCATGATCCAAGGAAGAGCCCATGTAATATGAATGCAGATCCATGAAATTGTTTTCACTGAATGTTGAAAAATTCAGCTTTTTTTCAAACATATTCATTGATTTCTCAGATAAGTTTGTTGATGTTGATGAAAATGAAATCACATCCAGAGGTCTAACATACAGAGTGTAATTTGATGCAGATCTAAAGATGGATCCAGATTGGGTGAATTTAAATGGTTTCATAAGGGGACTGTTGGTCCTTGATTGAGTTATGTGGGTCTTGAACAACAGAAAGATGTCAGAGACTGAACTGGAACAAGAAAAGCCAGAAATGCAGATGTTTGCATGTGATGTTTTTTATAGAAGTGACAGTGTCATTAAAATATTCTTGGTTGTATGTTGTCAGAACATTGGATATGTGAAAAATGCAGATTTCCAGAAAGAAGTGTTACTGGTGTCTTTGTAAATGTATCTTCCATTCAAAAAGGACATGTTTGACTTATAGTCGTTTGAAGACTGAGAGGAAATAGCTGCATGAATAAATGGAATTTAAATGGTTATTCAACATTTTGATTGCAGCAGGGGCCTGGTGTCATACAAGGAATGTGTAACTCTACTGAATGAGCAGTAGATGTCACTGTTTATCCACAAACTGAACATGGACCGTGTGTAGGACATTTAGTCAATGGAAGGAAGTGAGAAATTGTAGTAAACAGGAAGTTTTACAGAAGAACGTAAATATTTTAAATTGTAAATAAAGAATTAAAATCGGTGGTAAATATTTAAGATTGTAAAAGAAATAAAATAAAGTAGATATTCAATACTGTAAATAAAGTGGATATTTAAGAGTGTAAATAAAGTGGATATTTAAGAGTGTAAATAAAGAAATAAAATACAGTAGATATTCAAGATTGTAAATAAAGAAATAAAACTGAGCAGATAATTCAGTACTGCAAATCAAGTAGATATTTAACATTGTAAATAAAGAAAAGAAATCCAGTAGATATTTAACACTATAAATAAAGAAATAAAATCCAGTAGATATTTAACACTATAAATAAAGAAATAAAATGCAGTAGATATTTAACACTATAAATAAAGAAATAAAATCCAGTAGATATTTAACATTGTAAATAAAGAAAAGAAATCCAGTAGATATTTAGCATTGTAAATAAAGAAATAAAATCCAGTAGATATAAAACATAGAAATATAAAGTGCATCTTCCTCTTCACATACAAGTGTCTGCCTCAGGATCCTGGCTCCTCCTCCTCTGTGGTGGTGCACGGTCATGTGACACGTGCTGCCTCTCTGTCGTCAGCTGCAGTTACAGAGAAGTTGGCGAAGCTTAAAAGTTTCTTTGACACATTCTTTCTCTCAAACCAAGCAGCGCCATGGCGGAACTAAGTTTCGTGATCACCATGTCCGTGGTGACTCTGTTCTGGTTGCTTGTCGGAGGAGTAGTTCCGCTGTTTATCCCCAAAGGACCAAACCGAGGGTGAGTTAGTTAGCGCACGTTAGCTTTCAGCTAACTCAGTGTTTATTGAGTATAGCATTTACCACCGTAGCTTTTATTTCATACACCTACTGTGATAAAGCAGTGGTGCTTTTAAAATGAGTGCCTCTGTCTGACTTAAACAACTTTAACATTTAAACCTCGTAAACTAATGATACTTGCTAGTGAGTAAAAGTTTGGGTTAGCTATCGTTAGCTAATGAGCTGTTTCCTTTATATTCCAGGGATTCTAACATGTCCTAACAAATCTATTCTTCTCATGCCAACACATTAAGTTACTCATCTCGAGCTTCATATCTGGGAAGTGTCCACACTGCAACTTCCTTTATTTGCCTGTTAGTCACTATCACGAGATCAACATGGCCTGTGTTGGAAGTGAGACGCATATATTCTGTCATTAGATGAGAACTACAGGACTTTTAATAATACTGATCTTCTCTTGTCTCCACAGAGTCATCGTCACAATGCTGGTGTTAACTTCGGTCTGCTGCTACCTGTTGTAAGTTATCGTCCTGGCTCCATGTTGTTAAAGTCTGTGGTTTTAAATATAATGTATTGTTGCATTATTGTGCATCTACTGCTCATATTTTATTTTTAAAAAAGTCAAGAAGTTATTTGACATCTATCTTAATAATCTACTAATCATTTAAGAAAACTTTGAAGCAAGGAAATATCTTTCTTCTATATCCCAACTTCTAAGATATCACAATCTTATTGTTGAGACAAGAATAAGACCTGTGAATTTGTAACTTTGTGCTCTAGGAAACAAATTTTAAACCCTTCCCCCCTCATTTATTTATTTATTGGTAATACTTATTTGCAGCCCAAGTAATAATTCTTAATAAGACCCTGCATTTCTACAGTCGGACTCGGACATTGATTCTGTCTAGATGAACTGGTTTCCTCCATTTTAACGTCATGCATTGGAGTGTTAATAAAACAAACCTTGTTTTTTGAGTTAGTACTGTTTTGTGTGTAGTTTTTCTGTCCTGTGATAAAGTATGTATGATGGGTTAGGTGTCATGCTCATGGTGTCATGTTACATGTTAGGTGGACAACAGAGGGCAGCAGAGACAAAGCAGAGTGTTGCAGTGAAGTGAAGAGTCCCTCAGTTTGAGGTTGTGAGGAGTAATAAGCATTATAAATATAGGCCTACATTCAGAATGACCTTTGAGTAAGAGAATAGGAAATGACCTACATCACTAAGCTTTCAGGGATGTGGTTGATCTTACTCTCCTTTCTGTCCAAAAGCTGGTTAATAGCCATCCTGGCTCAGCTGAACCCGCTGTTTGGACCTTCTCTGTCCACGGACACCATCTGGTACCTGAGGTATCACTGGCCTTAAACTACTCTTCCCGGACTCCTGACCATGCAGGTAAACGTCTTCCAATCACTTTTTATGCAGCTTCTCAAAACTGTGTTTAGGTTTAGTATGCAATTAATATATTTTATTGCTTTTTTTCTAAATCAGTTTATTGTAATGTTTCTCTTCAGGGGACGACCTGATGCTCACTCCATGCAGACTTGATTCCTTCTGAATCGCCTTAAACTCAGATCCCTGTGTGATTATCGAGTGGTGCCTCCACTGGTGCCTTGTACAAAAATGATTCCCAAAGAACTTCTCAGAGGCCTCACTGAATGTGCTTTACTTTGAATGAGATGGAAGTGTCCTTCCATTGCTGTTGTTTGGTTGTGTGTGATGTGTGTTGTTGATAGAAATGATCTTAACTTTAAATAGCTGTTGTGCAATGTGTTTGCTGTGTCTGTTTATATTGCCGATGGCTGTAATACATGTGATTGTTGTTAATTAATAAAGTAATAATCAACTGTATTGGTGCATTACTGTGTTTTGTTTGGCCTCATTTGAGTGTTGTTTATGCAATCAAACAATTTTCTTAGTAACTAAAGTGTCTCCTCTTTATGTTGAAGTGTATATTTATGATGATGCATGCATTTTACTTCATTGTTGTTTTTCTATTAACTATTTTTAATGCTATTGGGAGATTTTGGCCGTCGCGGTTCAAATCCGACTTCCTGCTTTCCGTAGCTCGAGCCGGCTACGTTGGCAACATGGCGTCCCCTGATGTCCACGTTCGAATATGTGAACAAGAAATACTGAAATATGACTTGGAAATCAAAGCTCTGATCCAGGTGCGAATGTTTATTTGGTAAGACAGCTCGGTGCTGCGTTAGAACATGTGAGTGTTTCCGCCTGTCAGTCCGCAGAACCGTGGTTTAGCCTGGTAGCCTCCCGGGTTAGCAGCTGCAGTTAGCCGGTGTACAGACGCTCTGAGCAGCAGTGAGGGAGCAGGAGCTCCCGGTGCCTCAGTCTCAGCTCCTCCAGGCAAAACCACTTGTGCTACATGTTTACTAAGTACATGTGTTATACATGTGTGGTCTTTTCTTCTGTAGACAGCTAGTTGGTGCTGAAATGATCAGATCAGAATATGAATTCATTTAAGTCTTATATCAAGTTAAAGTTACAAACATTTCCTGCTTTTAGTTTTTCAAATGTGATGATTCTTTGCTTCGCTGTTTCTATTTCTTTTGCAATGTAACTGCTGTGTGGTTTTGACTTTTATTCAAAACCATGCAGCAAAACATAGATATTCATGTTTTTTACTCGAATCGTAAAACTAATCGCCATATGAATACATTCTGTGAATATTAAGTATGACCATATTTCCATTTCATGCACTTTATCATTTAAAATCACTTAAAATATACTTTAAACTTAAAAACTTAAAACATTTTTCAACCTGTGAGAGCAACATGAACAGTGCAACATGTTGAGAACGATAACTTCATTTCACATCAACGCAGCATTCATGTGTTTAACTGTTTGTTGTTTGAACATGTCACCAGGATATTAATGAGTGCTCAGGGCCGCAGAACAAGCTGACAGAACTGAACGCAGATGTGAAAAAGAGTTTCCACAATCTCAGACTGAGGATCCAGGTAAGAAACACCTGCAAACATGAATGACAGTAATGCAGCATGAATGACTGAAACTCCATCTGAAGCCGGTCTCTTTACCAGTGAGATATATTTGGGGTTCTAACATGGCGTAGTTTTCAACCAATGTTGGTGCATTAATTATAAAAAATATATAAATTGTTTTCTGGTGTTAGTTCAGGACAGAACCTCCACACTCTCATATCATTATATTTATGTTCTGTCCTTAACTGACTGAATCAGACTCAGACTTAATGCTGACCAGAGGAGCAGACGAGTAGTAATCAATAATCAGTAACTATGCAATTCAATTATGTTTTCTGTCATTTGTAATAGATGATAGATTTAGAAATATTAATACATATTTAAAATATTACATACGGATAAATGGCTCAGAAAATGCTTGTATTTTGTTCCTTTGACAGGATTTAGAACAGATGGCGATGGAGCAAGACAAAGAGTCAGGCAAGCAAACGTTGATCAGTCAGGTAGAGGGACACAGAAAACAGATGCTGAGGTAATGTCTGATAGTTACTCATCATTTTGTATTTCTTGATTTATGACTATTTTTGAAATGTTGCACATATTTGTGTTTTTAGTGTTGCATATCTGAGGGTGGATAAACATGTAAAAAAAAAAAAACTTAAAAGTTGTTTTATCAGAATGTGTTTGTTCATTTTTATATATTTTGCAGTAACCAGACAGTTTGGAGGAAAGCTAACCTCGCCAGCAAACTGTCCATAGACATTATGGAAAAGCAGGCACTTCTGAATGGATCAGATGGTGCTGTGAGACAGAGGTGCCCCACATACTTAATTCTTCCATTTTTTTCTTCTTCCAAGAATACATGTTTTGTCACACCTGGGTTCCTTCTGGCTTTTTAGCATAAGAATATGTGGTGTGTATATATAGAAGAAAGATCTATTTCTGTCTCTCATTTTACAGGAAGTTGACCAAAGATGGCCTGGCCCAGACAACCAGCGACATTACAGAAAATCTTATGAGCATCAGTCGGATGATGGCACAGCAGGTTCAGCAGAGCGAGGAGACCAAGACATCACTCGGTAAGTGAAGGCAACAATTAAAGTAGGGAGCATTATTAAAAAATCTAGACTGGCACTCAGTAGAGTGTATACCTCTGACAGTCTCAATAAAGTTAATGGAGCTTCACCATATTACACACACACTCATGATATCAGACCCATAAATGTGTCAGATTTTTAAAATCAAGACCCATGAATAATTTCCTGGGATATTGGTGAAAATGTAAAAAAACAAACAAACAAAAAGCCCTGACATGTAAAAGAAAGTGAAAAATAATTCCTGGATCTGCCCTATTGTTCAGATTAGCGTCAAAGTATAATGTGTTCTTTCATGATCCATACCACAGTACAAGTACCATGGAAATCCTTTCTGTGGTTTTTGTATAATCCTGTTTACAAACAAACAAACCAACAGAGAGTGGCAAAACATAACCATCTTAATGTAGGTAATTATTCTGTTTCTTAAAATATGATTGTTCACATAGTAGTTTTGAACTTAATCTTAAACTAATGCAAGTATTTTTGATGGTAACCTAATTTAATGCACATCCATTTATTTATTATGAAAATGCTTTACGATGAAAACACGTTTCTCCTCCTCTTGAAGCGACCTCCTCCAGGACAATCCAAGAGACCAACGAGGAATTTAAGGCCATGACGGGGACCATCAAGCTCGGGAGAAAACTCATCACCAAGTACAACCGAAGGGAGCTCACTGACAAACTACTCATCTTCCTGGCGTTGGCTCTCTTCTTCGCCACAGTTCTCTACATCCTTAAGAAGAGACTATTCCCCTTCCTGTAGACCAAGGTAACTCCGAGGACACTCTCCCGTAACCACACACACTACGATCCACAGTCGCAGCAAATTATTTAAATAATTCTAAAGGCTTTGTGTCATATTACGCACACATTATTCACTAGTGTCCGCTCACTGGAATGTTGTCTGCTCACTCGGCTGAGCTGTGTGCTGAGGGTGAAATATTGTCCACAAAGTGGAAGATAAACCTCCGCACTCATATCTCCCGGCAGTGTTTTACTTATAAAAAAATATTTTGGTCTACTTTTTTTCATCAAACAAAGAGAATCACTCATGACGGCAGATGTATACGTGACGGCACAAAATGTGTCAGAGGTCTGTCTTTAATTAGTCACACAGTAATGCTGTGCATTGCTTTTAATAAAGTCAGATGTGGGGGGATGGGAGAACCAATATTTTCTTTTAAATGTTCCTGTAAAGCATCCATTACATTTTTTCTTCTCATATTTCCCAATTATGCAGGGGCTACCAAAAATGCGTTTTGTGGACTAGTTTGCTTCAGATTTGTTTAGGAATTAAGTTCAAATGTCAACAGAATCAGTAAGAATATGATTATCAAAACCCTATTGCCACTGTTCATATCAGCTCAACATACTTTTAAGGTCATTAATGTGATGAAGGTAATATTATAAAAAAGATTAAGTAGGTTGGGGACCGTGTTGGCCTTATGGATATATTCCTCAGTGACTTGTGCTTTGACCAAACCATTACAGTTCTGACTGTATTTTTATTTAATATCATTAATTCACTGTGCCAGTCATGTTCAAGCTTTTTGTGTGATTGTTAATTATATACTGTATAATTACCTAAAGATATAATTTATTATTACAGTGTAATGAGCTAGTGCTATTTTTGATTATAGAAATATTATTTTTTAATATGTATCCACACAATCCCATCTACACTCACTCCCTGTATGTGTGTTACAAGCCCAGTTATCACAACGGTACCTTACATGTGCACTTCAGTTCAAACTGTGCCTATATTTATTTGGTTGGCATGCAAACCAAAAAGAAAGCCTCTGTATTTGGTGTAAGAGTCAACACTCTCCAGCATCTCTGCCCATGCTGGAGTGTCTCTGTTCTGCAGCGCAGCACAAAAGCTCAGAGAAGCAGTGGCAGTCATCACGCAGGCTAGAGATAGAGCAGCATGCATCCCTGCCTTTCTTCAGATAAGACCCGGAAAAGCAGATTATTCCGACCCGTTTCCCCTCTCCCTTTCCAGTATGGGTGGAGGTTGAGGTGGGGGATATTTTTAGGGTTGTGTGGAGCTGTTATCTGACATTGCCTTTTCAACACCTCGGAGGAGAGGGTGGCCAGAGGAGCTACATGACCTTGCCACCCTTTCTAAAATCTCCTTGCATTGCTCATATGTTAAATATATGTAAATGCTCTTCAGTATTGATGATCAATAAACACAAAGTCATCTGGCTTGAGATTAGAATGTGTGTTGCGTGTGTTTTTGGGCGAATATTGTTCAAAATGAGATAGAAGACTACAGACTAAGTGTGGAGAGTCCTGAGAGACGCCCAAGCATCTCTTACTCGTGTAAAGTGGTGGCTGTTGGGCAGCGCCGCTTCTTTGCCTGTTCATATAACTGCACACTTAGATGAGGCCTCTGGCTCTCTGTCAAGCAAATTGGACTATTCTTGCATTTAGCACCGTGATAGTGTCAGTCAAGTGTGTGGGTTTGTATCTGGACAAGTGGGTTAAGATCTCAGGGGAGCGAACACGGCAACAAACTAACGGAGCAAAGACGGGAAGCAAACATCGACCAGGAAGTGACTACAGACCAAAGTTTTATATGGAGTTAATTTTACAGCTTTGTTCAGTCACTATTAACCTTTTATCTTTGTGTTTTTACAGCTGAGCTTCAGTCCAGCTAAAATATTCCGATTTCTCAAATGAAACACAATACTGACTCAGCAACTTTGCCAAAGGGTAACTTTTAATAACCAATATTGTCCAAAGTAGATAAAAAATCTTAGATCAGGTCACATCTTGATTGCCCTGTTATTTAAAACGGTGTTGATTCTTTGACATTTACGCAGAAATTCCTCCTACAAATTTGAAGTTCATGTTAATAATAATTATTAAATCCTTTCCAATGAAAAACACCATATTGCAAGTACATCAGGATTTGTAACATTTAGATAGATAAATGTACATTATTAATCTTAATTTGGGGAAAGTATTGAAATTTATTACAAGTAAAGGTCATGGCTCACAGCCCTGTCTGTCCCTGCAGTGACTTTTAAGCACATGTAGCGTGTACATGTGTCTGACAGCGGGTAGTAAAAATGTGTAAACCTTTACCAACCTTTTAACCTCTTTGGAGGATATTGAAGGAAGCTTCCTAACGGCCACTTGAACACTTTCACCAGACACAAACCATATGAGGGGTGTAGGCTCCGTCATACTGATCTATTACCAACTCAACCATTAGAAGAACCACATGCTGGTATTATATTTATATTGTCGAAATTATAATTTACTATTACTGTCATGTTCACATATTCACATTTATATTTATTTAATGGAGGCTAAATGGTTTTTCTAATAGGCCATTGTTGTCTTTAATGTTTTAAGAATTAAGAGCCAATTTCTAAAAGTTTTTAATTTTATATTTTTATTGTAGAAATTATAATAATAACAGTAATCATAATAATGGTCTATATTTTACATAAACTTAATTGCTAAGATTAGGTTGTATTTACTAGAACGACCACATAGGCAACTGTATCTGAGTTTTATTGAAATAAAACATTTTTTACAAAAACATTTAAATAATTTTAATTGCATTTTTTTTACTCTCTCAAAAATGCCTGTTTGTGCGCTAATGCCACGAAAATACATGAAAATATCGCTATTCTGACAAAAACTGGTGCTGAAAACAAAACTACGAAAAAAGAAGTCATTAAATATAAGAGAAGTTAAATGAACTCCGCCAAATCTCGACACATTTACAAATGCATGCAGTCAAAAGTTAAAGTGTGGTTAATATAACGAGTGATACGTGTTCACCATGTCCTGATGCCATGTAACGAGGACACCCCGGTGCTGGAGGAGAAGCTGTTCTGCACATTATTCAAGTCTCCTGCGCCAAAGTTCATGTAACTCCCGCTGTTGGAGGAACCTTGCACAGTTTGCATCGTGGCTGCAGGATAATTACACGCATAGTTTGTGTTGCAGCCGGGCCCCGTGTAGTTACTGAAGGGTGGGTAGTTGTTGTAAGTGAAATGGTTGATGGGACCCATGCTGTAGGAAGGGTTGTATGTGCCCGTGTCCGCCGCCAAACAGGGCTTCCCGTCCCGCACCAGCACCGGCACCGACACCCTCCTGGGCGGCGGCAGGGACACCATCTCCAGGCTCTGGTCCTGCCGCTGCCGCTTGCACTTGTACCTCCTGTTCTGGAACCAGATCTTCACCTGGGTCGGGGTCAGCTTGAGCACCCCGGCCAGGTGGTCTCTCTCCGGGGCGGACAGGTACCGCTGCTGCTTGAAGCGCCGCTCCAGCTCGTACACCTGCGCCTGGGAGAAGAGCACCCGAGGCTTCCTGCGTCTGCGGGGCTTGGGTCGGTCCGGATCCGCAGTTTTTATGTCCCCCGCGGGCTCGAGAGGAGGACTGAACTCTTCTGATTGAACCAGACAGAGAAAGTAACATGAAAACAAGCTGCAAATGTGACCTTTTAGAGGTTTCTTATAGTTCTAATATATCTACTGTATTCCTTTAGAACCGTTTTTGCCATTACGGTTATAAAAAACACCAATATTAATAACAAATAATGATAACAGCATCATATAATATAGGCCTGGTTATTGTATTTTATCATATTATATGGTTCTAATGAGGCTGTGGTGCCATTACTGCTAAGTTTGCTGATTCAATTTAATTCCCACCCATAATGTACTCAATGTAAGCTCTGGATAAAGACACATATGTTGCATATTATTAGCCGATGCAAGATTTGAACTATACTGGTAATGATTATTTTTCAATATTAAATAGTCTATCAGGTCTGAGAAAAATGTTGATCAACTTTTATTTATACTCTAAAATAGTTACATGTTTTTTTTAGACAAGACATTTGGTTTATTGGAGGTGGTTTTGAGTATAAGTTGTATTCTGGTACACATCGTGTGTAGGCCTTATCACAGGCCCACAAAACAAACAAGCTTGTCCTCTGCCTCAACTCACCTTTTCTGCGTTTCCCCTCAAACGCGTCTGATTTCTCATCCTTGACTATGTCCACATCTAAGAGGGATTTCCCATAAAAGCTGGAGGCAAAGCTGAGAGCACTGCTGCCTCTGCCTGCTCGGGACTCGTGGAGGTCCTCTCCGAACAGCGAGGCGGCGGCGGGAGACGACATGTCCCGGAGAGGCTCCTGCTTCATGCGGGCCAGCATGCAGGAGGAAGAGGAGGAGGAGGTCGGCAGGATGCAGCAGTCCATACGTGAGGAAACGTCCAGAGAAGACGCCATAACGCCATGACTCTGCTCCAAGTTTAATATATCCTTTACAGAGAAGGGAGTGGACGTGCTGGGACTGGGAAACATTGCCAAAAAAAAGGAAAAAACTATTAACCTGTCATATGGACGCAACAGGTCAACAAACTTCTTCTCCCTGCTGGTAATATTTACTGGATTTAAGTATTCGTTTGGTTCACCACACGGACCTTGAGTGAAGTGTGCATTTTGAATGTCAACTCTTGTCTCCAAACTTTGTTTCTTGGCCCCCCTCTCCTGCCGGTGACGCAGGGAGGAGGTGGATGGGTGGGAGGGAGGGAGGGAGGGAGGGAGGGAGTGGGACCCTCGGAGCCACTGGTACTCACTCCCATTTCATGACGTGAAGTGATGTGTGCTACATGTAAGGCCTGGTGTTACCTAAAGGCCCATATGTGTTAATTAAACCACTGCAAACACATCACATCTTATAGAGAAAATTAAATTCTTACATGTATTCATCATAATTTCCCTCAATGGTTTAACCTTGATGTAGAAATTATTAGATTATTTATTTTATAAATAGGTAGGTACTTTTTCAGCCTTGTAAATTCGTCATTACGCACAATGCAAAAGCACTTTCAGTTAATCCCGCACAGTGAATCATTTTTACGCACATTCTCACATTACAAGGAGAATGATTTATCCAGTGTATCTTATAAATGCTGTGTAAATACACCTGGGGAGCTAGATTTGCATTTTTGAGGGCACCGAGACCCTGACCGTGCGTGTGAGTGTGCGTGCGTTTTGGGTGTCTGTGTGCCCCCTGGCCCAGAGGGGAATCTGAGCAGACAACAGGATGGAACCGTGAACGCATAGAATCTGAAACCAAAGAGCGACACACTCTGCTGTCTGCCTCCGAGAGATTCTGGAGCCACTGTCTGCCTTATCAGGACGTGATAACAGACGACAACAAACCTGTAAACCCCCCCC